AACTGACACCTTAGGAGAGGGACTTCTGAATTCAACATTTGACACCAGAAGCCAACCTCCTAAAATAAAACAGACCTAAATTATCTGGTGACATCCATGTAACTAGAATTTTGGACCTAATAAATGGTAACAGGACCAATTGGGTCTGTAATCATACGAGTGCTTTCCAAAATCGTACTACCGCAAAGCGGGAGTCCGATTTTTTAATCACTCGTATCACTACAGGTAGACTTGGACGACAAGAAGGCCTGTTACCAATTAGTCAAAACTATAAAAAAATTTGAGAAAGAAACCAGACATCGGTTATACGTTTTCATAAAAACGAAAAACAACAGTTCACTCGGCGAAATGCGAGACAACAGCGCGCACATGACGCGTTCTGTCCACTCACACAGGTATGACGCGTTAACTGTCCCTTGAACGGTCCTATTACACTGTTCAATTATAAATATGACGCGTACATTGTCCGGTTAGTGATCAAATCGGCCGGCTGACGATAACCAATCACTTTCGAGAATTCTGCTGTAGTTTTGATTCAAAACATAATAAGGATCTTGGTAGAGAAAGCAAGAATAGCCAAGACCAGAACGTTCCAATAACAACTGTACCGAGTCTGATATACTCCTGTTGAAGTCCTCGTGTCTCAAAAAAACAATTCATTCTCTTACCACCATATCTTGACATGTCACAATAGACCTTCAAAGGGTTTCCACTCTTCTCTGGGTCGATCCAATACTCCCCGTCTCCTTTGGAGTGTCCAGAGTCCAGAATTTCTTTACAGGAGAAGGCCGGATGAGCAGAATCCCAACCTCGTTTATCTGCATAGGAAAAGGAAAGAACAATCATTTGGAACGAGGAGAGGATCGAACTAAGAAACAAAACACGCCACAGAGGTTTTATTCCATAAGTAGTTCCTTTCGCGTAATTATTACATAACTCTTGATTTTGGAAATTTAAATTTAAACTAAGAAAATCTGGAAAACCTATCATTATAAGGAAAAGCAAGAGACTTTAAACTTCATATTCTCTCGGGAAAGATTATACATGGATGTACACGTGAAATAAGAGAGCTCTGAAAAGCTCTTATCAGAAGTAAGAAATAGGTCACCATTTTTGACTTGGAAAGAGGGGTTGGGAGGGGTGGCATATTCTTGGGGGGGATATCATTGTTTTCAAAGGGAACGGAGAGGCGATCAGTCGTCGCTAACAGAGTTTAAAGGTGAGACTAAAAAAAATTGGCGGCCAATGAGGAAGATCGATAGAATAGTTCAGAACGTTACGGAAGGATCAGGAAAACTTTATTGTGACAATCAAAATACTCCAAC